GGCCTTAGCATCTCTGCAGAGAACAGCTGCTTCATCCCCTCCATTGGTTTAGTTGCCCTTTGAAGGGCAACAGAAGAGAGAAGAGACCGGAACTGCGCACATCACTCCAAGTATGGGCATAGGAAGGTTTTATACAGCAGCAGAGTGATTCCTTTGTCTTGTGCCCATCTTGTCAGATTCTGGGCTACTGCTGTCTATTAAGCTCATTTCTCAGAGAACTGTTAAGTGTAGGAAAAGATTTAGTTGGCAACTACGTTCCCAGCGTGTGCTGCTGAGGTTCCAGAAATCAGGTTGGATGGACCGGAGCTTTGAGACCTCTGTATTTCTGTTACTCTTGTTTTTAACGTAGGTTGGCAGTATTTCCATGCTACTACTGGCTGTGTTGTGGGTTTAAAAGATGAGGTCTTTGGAGTTCAGACTGTGTGAGAAGATGTGTGAGAGAGTGTGTAGTGCTCAGCCAGATGGGTTGTTTTTTTCCCCCTAAAGCATCTTGATTCTGCTGAAGGTGGCAGCAAATGTATACTATATATCCAAGCAGACAAATAGCAACATGACAGCTAAAATTGATACTTCTAGTTAGACATCATCATTATATCATTTCGGTAGGAATAAGCTTGTGGTATCTCACAAAGTTTTCTGATTTCCAGCTACGCTAGCTTTGTCCTTGTTTGGACATGTTTTGTGGTTTCTAAGATACAGGTCCTGTTGCGACCTCTCTCTTAGGCTTCATAAACATCCATGTTTTGGCTGTGCAAATGTCTAGTGTTTTTAGCAAAAAAATATTTTTCCTAGAGAGGGCAAGTTAAACTCGATTACAAGGACAAAAACAATTGGGCAGCATGGTTTAAATCTACTTAACAACTTCCAGTCACACCTATATTTTTTAGGAAGCCCAAGTTGGGCAGAAGCTTGCTGAAGCAGTAAGAAAGGCTTGTGACATGTTCTGACATTACAGTGACACAGTTTGTGGCCTTGTGGAAAGATCTTTAGCTTTTGTAACAAACTATTGGCATTGCAGATGGATTCAAGCCAAAGCTTGAACAGCTTTGGCAAATCGAGAATTTTGAAATTCAATTTTGTTTAATTAAAACTAAAAACTCTTCTAGTCTGTGATGGAGGCCAATTTGGTTCCGCTTCTACATTGTCTGTAGCAATCCACGATTCTCCTGCAATCCATAACGCAAGTTAGAGAGAATCGATGTTTTCATTAACTACCGAGACAAGCAATATTGTACAGCTTCAAACTCAAACAAGATGTCAATTCCTAAAAAGGATATACCTTCGTGTCCGGTGTAACCATGCTGAAGAACATTCTTCTAGCAAAAATAAGCACTTCTTTACAAAGAAGGCATATTCATCTGCAAGAGCTCTTAATGGAGGATGATTTACTGCTAAACACATCCTTGCATGTGCTTTCTGGTCATCTATTACAGCATGAACCCAAACTTCACTGCGTGTTACAAGTACTATATGTTTAATAGTGTTGCATTAACTGTATGCTTAGCTTTGTTTTCAAGCACATCTTCCTACATTACTTTGAAGTGTTTACGTGACCTCTGCTAGCAGCGCTGGAGTGTTTCAGTCATATTTAGTGCACGTAGTCGCAGCTCGCTTCTTTGAGGAACCAGTGCTGTGTATTCCCAGGTGAGAAAGAGGAACTGGGCCACAAGGACATGGATCTGCCTGCTCAGCCCGTTCCACTGAAATGCAGATATTTACATCAGGAGTCTGTAGCAGCTACGAGCTGTGTGTAGCTCATGGTCTAGTGTCAAGATGCAGGCTGCGATGTGGGGAAGCTGGAAGCACGATGTCAGAGATCTGCAGTAGAGCAGAGGCTGTAACCCAGATTTCTTAATTCCAGGTTTATTTTCAAACCGCTCTACTACTCTTCTTACTTTCCAGGTCCTTTTTGCATGATATTAGAGTGCTTTGCATAGAGTATAAATTAAGAAAAGTATCTTTTTTTGTGAAAATGTGATTTAAGACACAACTAAGAATGTTTGGGAGTAAAATATTGATGTAATTAGAAAGCATTCCTGTTTCTGTAGCTGCCACGAAGCATGGAACTTGAAATGCTACAAATAAATTTCATGAATTGGAAGAAGCTACTCGGTCAGAGGAATGAGGAGGGAGGGTCCTCATCTCTGCACGCTCTTTGTGTGAGAGAAGAGGTGCATCTGCATTCCCTGTAAAATGTGCGGCTCTTGGTATTGGGAGTGAGGAGGAGGGTGTGAGGAACCCGCTCTGATAATCTGAGGCATAACAAAAGAAAGAGGATCTCTTTTCCGTATTCTCCATGTGGTATCTGTTACGACCTTCTGCCACTGCCATCTGAAAGGGAAAAGGCGTATTAAAATTGTGTAAAATAAAATACATCACTTGGGTACATTGTCTTCTTTAGGGTGTTACAGGATATGTTTTGGCTTTAATTCGTCTGTCCTCCTTGGTGGTTGAGTAGGACAAGTATGTGTGTGCTCCTGTCCTCTCGTGCTGTGTTCCATATGGTGGTACAGATTTGCTTGCTCACTTGAATTTTCTTAGCTGCTCTTTCTGGGATCACGATCCCCTGTGAAATGTTTTTTTCTTTTATTCCCCCCCCCCCGCTTCTTTTTAGAGATGGAGTCCTTGAGTAGGTGGTGCAGCCTGTTGTTTTTCTTTGAAGGCAAGAAAGAGTAGTGAACTGGAAGTTTTGGGTATGTCTCTGTTGACTTTTTGAGAGGGGGGAGCATTTCTTGTACGTTTAAGTTCTTTATTTACATTTATTTGAGAAGAACTTCTGCACTTGAGTTCCTACTACTTTCCTAATGCTATTGAAGAATTCAGAAAAATCTATCAAATACTACCCCTTCTTGGGTCCTGCTTGTTGTCACTGAAGATACTCTTAAAGAAACCATAAAGAAATAGGTTTCTCTCCTTTGCTATTTTTTTACGATCTGCAAGCAGTTCTCACATTCTAACTTTTACTGTGGAGGACAAGTGACAGTTATTGCAAGGGAATCTGATATTTTCTTTCTTACTTGATAGCAGGAGATAGTGGTTTTAGTGTGACTGGACCTCATTGCTTTAACGAATCCAAAGCAAATGCTGTTACGGTAGCAGAGAGCAGCAGCAGTGTTCAGCAATGGGTTTTTTTGTCTCCTTCCAACTATTTGACCTTCTCTACACAAATAGCTTAAGAAATCCAGGAAAAAAGCTCACAAAGTTCTCTCCTGCTCCTGGCGGTGTATTTTTTTGCGGTGTATTTTTTTACGTCTTTAGGGTTGGAAACGATGGTTGTTCTAGTCTCTTACTATTTTTATACTCTTTCAGTGTAGAATGCATACCATCGTAAGATGGTGCCTCACTTCAGAGGCCTGAACTTCTGTTATTTGAATGAAATAATGGTCTCCACGTGTGCTAGTTGTATTTTTAAAGGCATCTCACTTTCAGTGAGTAGATGCTTTAAATTTTGGAAGTTGTGATTGTTTCATTATGTTCAAGCATATGATCCAAACCAGTTTGTATGCAGGGATTTTTTTTTTTTTTTTTTTTTAAATATCATAGAATCATAGAATGGTTTGTGTTGGAAGGGCCATCACAGCCCATCTAGTTCCATCCCCCCTGCCACGGGCAGGGACACCCTCCACTAGCCCAGGCTGCCCGAAGCCCCATCCAACCTGGCCTTGAACACTGCCAGGGAGCCAGGGGCAGCCACAGCTTCTCTGGGCAACCTGTGCCAGGGCCTCACCACCCTCACAGGGAAGAATTTGTTCCTCATATCTAGTCTGAATCCACCCTCCTTCAGCTTCAGGCCGTTCCCCCTTGTCCTGTCACTCCCTGCCCTTGTAAACAGTCCCTCTGCAGCTTTTATCTTTATTATTGCTTATTTTCTCATCATAAGTTCTTTAAAGTGGTTCAGAAATTGTCAGTAGAGCTACAGAATTCACTTCATGTTGTGATATATCAATGTTTAGGTCATAACTACTATAACTGATCTCTTTTTCACCATGAAGTATACAGTTTTCAATGTCTATATTGCTAATTTAAAACAGAAAGCTGTATGGACCATAGCTCCCCTTCCAAGGATAAAGGAAGAGAAAAATTCAGAATGACTTTTTTTCAGAAACCAACTTTTTGAGTGCTACTTACTGTAGGATAGAAGAATATGTCTTTTAGGCTGTTGCTGTGTCCTGAGTCTTTCTGGTTGTGTGATTGAGTCATTCTGGATCCGGTGGCAGGACAGGTCTCAAGAGGGGGTGAGCGAGGTGAAGAGAGAGGGGGAGAAAGGGAAGATTGTATTGATTCTGGAGTAAATCTCAGAAATTCGGTGTGATGCCAAGAAACTTTTGTTTCCTCTGCCAGTTTCATTAGATTTTCAACAGTTTTGTTGTAATCTCAAACTTCATTGATTTAAAAAAAAAAAAAATTAAATATCTTACTAGATTATGTTACTCAGAGTGTAAAAATATATGGAGGGGGGAAATAAAGAGCCCGTTACACTTCTTAGCTCTACTGGTGTACTTTTGAAACCAAATTATTGGAAGGCATGGGTAGGCTTTTGATGGATTTCTCTATGTACTTGTGATATCCCTAGTGTACTTTCAGCAGGCAAGTAGTAGTCACTGCAATACTCCTAACAAATAGTTGCACTGGTCCCCGAGTCCAAAGTAGAATTTCTTCTTTAGAGTTCTTTGCAAGTAATAAATCAGGATATATTTCATATGTTATGCTGTGCCCATATTAATGACTCTCTGGAAATATGTTAACCAATAGATAACTTTCCCTTTTTATAGACCCAGTGGTGTAGTAAAAAACCTCTGAAGCATCTGAAAATTGGGGAAGTAATAACCCACAATATTTATGTTTTTTTATTTTCTTGAAGCACATTGTTCTGTGCTGAGTACCAGACAGATATGTTTACCAGAAATGAACTGCACTCAATGAAATGTATAGACTTAAGAAGAGTGACTGGTTTGCGATAAGTAGTGCATTTTTTAGGCAAAGCCTTCCTGTCCTCATAGATAATTTCAAAATATCCCTTTTTTTGTAATCTTTTTGTCCTTAGGACTTTATCTACCAGTGATGATGTTGAGGACCGAGAGACTGAGAAAGGACGCCTGGAAGAAGCTTATGAGACATGTGACCGGGATTTGGATGAACTCATTGTCCAGCACTACACCGAGCTCACCACTGCGATCCGCACTTACCAGAGCATCACAGAGCGCATCACCAACTCGCGCAACAAGATCAAACAGGTGAAGTCTGGCTTTGCTTGTGTTTCTGTGTTTCCGTCCGCTCAATAGCATCTACGCTGGGCACAAATCTGTGCAACTCCTCTATCTTTTTCCTGTGTGCTGTCCTTTTATTGGTAATGTTGTAAACTTCCATTTTAACCTTTTATTTCTCTCTCTTTTTTTTCCCAGCTGCTTGTCATCATTCTGAACTGAGCTAAAAATTGAATTGAGAAAGCACTGTTACCCACTAATTCTGAATTAAGCCTGATTTTTCAAGTCACTCTGTGGCATGGCTAGGACTAGATCATCCAGTCCTAATACAGCGGTCCCGGGCTATGTCTTACTGGCAGCATGTTTTCCGTAGGATCTCTCTGTTGTTTGAGAACACAAGCAATTAAAAAGCAAAACGAGAGGTGGTTATGAAGACCAAAGTTTTGTGATGCCCCCTGTTCGTTTATTGTCTGGGCATGTTGCTATCAGGTTTTTGAAGTCTAAAGGCTGCTAAGCTAACACCTTTGCATCTCATCTGTTCATGTTTTGATACGTTGGCCTCCAACCACCTCCTAAATAGTCGGGGTGATTCATCAGCTTGCTTTTCACTCAGAGAATCTGAATTTTGGTGCTATTTCCAAACTCAGTTCTGTTGTGTGAATGTACATGAACTCTGCGCCCCTGTATCTTTCTGCATTTTGAGTGCTCACACTTCGGTAGCGTGCCAGTAAATAACTCTGGCACTCTTTGTTGTGGACTTGTTCCATCTGCTCTCTCCCTGCAGAGATTAGTTCTTTGGTCTCCTGTCCTATCTTTTACTTCCTGTGTAGTTTGCTGTACCTAAACTTTGCAAACTAGGCACCAGATTTATTCTTCTCCCCCCCGCACCCGGCTCTGTGAAGGTCTCAGCTTAAAACCTTTCACAGCAGTGCTTTAGGAGCAGTTGGCTTTTACCCTGCTGGGGCTATGTACTGACCCTTCTGGCTTTTAAAATTCATTTAGCATTTTCAAAGAAAATGAGACCATTCTGATGCTTTCCAAGGCTAAGAGTTCATTCTAGGATTTATGTACAAAGCTCAGCACTTTGAAAGCAGAGATCAATTGTGCTAAATTTGAAATAAACTGTAGCCAGTGGCCTGTTTTCACACAGTGTACTCAGCTTTGCTGAGGTCAAAACAAACATATAGGGGTGTGACCTTGTGGTCCAGCCTAGAAGAATGACTGTAAGGGTGAAGGACCTTTTGATATTTAAGTTTTCTTATTAGTTTTAGTCAATATATATTGAAGTAGTTTTGGCCTAATCTCATGGGAGGCCCCAGATCTGGTCTGTCATCGATCTGTATTACACTGTCAGACTTTCTTTTGATGTTCCCTTCTTGTGGAAGGTAGATGATCGCACAGGTGTTTACTTGCTTTAGGAATCGTGGAAGTGATAGATAGTCCGGATCCCTCTGTGTATCTACCTTTTGTAGTCAATTCCTGTATGAATTCCTGTTGGGAAAGGCTTAGTTTTGAACCTAGCTTTAGAGGTGTTACCACTGTAAAACTGAATTCTAAAGTAGAAACTGGCCTACCAAGGGGAGATTAATTCTTAAAGACTTGCTGTTCATTCCTTCCCCTGCTCCCAAATGTAGATCTAGTTGATCTCCTTTCTTGCAAGGACAGGAGTAGTCTTGCGAGATTCCTTCTAGTCCCACGATTGTTTTCCTGACTTGATTTGGCTCTGTGGAACAGCAGTCCGCTGATGACGGTGTGCTAGGTCAGTGAAACGTTTTAAATTAGGATATCGGACAGCATTGTAGTTTACCTCCGCTTTTGCAGCGAGTTATGACACTCTTACATCAGGTTTTCTGTTGGCTGAGGATTTTTCTATGTTACTCTTTTCAGAAGGACATTTCAGAGTGCAGTGTTACTGTATTAAAATCTTAGTCTCTTCTGGCTCTGCAGGGAGGCTGGTTTATGCAGCTATTGTTATTTACTGCTTATCTGTGTTTTGGTCCATCTATGTGTTTGGCATGTATTTTTTTAAACTGCCTTTAGATGGACAAGGTAGGAGAGTGTGCAACTGAAGTGGGATTTCTGGAGTGCTTTGAAGGCTCATTATTTAAAAATAAATTGAAGGGCCTACTTCTGAGAGTCTCTCTTCATGTGTAATTCAGTGAGAGTTCAGCCTGAGAAAAGGTTGGAACCTAAGTATTCATAACTTATCACAAAAACAAGAATAGTGTGAAAGCAATGTGTGAAGCTGTGTTGCTAATTGCTTCCACATTTTAATATGTATTAGTGATTTGCATTATGCAAGAAAAGCTAGGTTATACTGACCTTACCAGAGGATATTGGGAGAACCTGAAAGCAGGGAATGCAGGCTGTGCCTTTGAGCAGAAAGAATGGGGAAGAAAAACTCTTGATGTTTCCCAAATGAGGTAGAACAGTAGAGACTTTGCTACTGAGAGGGGATGGCGTCAGGCTTGCAAACACCAAGGTGTTTCTCTAGGTGATGTAATGATAAATAATGGAAATGCGGAATTGAACTGTATCTTAACTGCTACTTGTTCAAATGAAACCATATCTCTTCCCAAAAAAATTAGTATTGCTCAAGGTATTAGGAAAATGATTATACTCTTAGATAGTCGTGTTTTCAAGAAACGGACACCAAAGTTGAAGAAAGGAGGAGACGTGCCAAAAGATTTAATAGGCAGATGGAAAATGTTTACAGCAGAAAAATTAGTAGTGGCTTATTTGCTTTCACTGAAAATTGGATTCTTGCTGTATGCCAAAATACTGAATTGATTTTTGGAAAACGTGCAAATAAGTCTTTGGTCATGGTTAATAGGATCCTGCGTTTGTTCACATTACGATACTACAGTTAAATTTTCCATAGTGGTACAAAACTTGTACTAAAAACCATTTCACTATGAAAGCAGTTCTGGTTTGTATGTACTGTGTGTTTTCCTTCAGCCAAAAGAATACTCGGAAATTTTAAGGAACTTGGATTTGGTTATAGTCTCATGATATTTTTGGAATTCCTAATAAAGGCAATGTGGGAAAGGGCTGATCTGTGTTAGAAGCGCCAGTTATGGGGACAAATTTAATTTTTTGACACGTTGCTTGTAGGTGAAGGAGAATCTGCTGTCGTGCAAGATGCTGCTGCACTGCAAGCGGGATGAGTTGCGCAAGCTGTGGATTGAAGGGATTGAGCACAAACATGTCCTGAATTTGCTGGATGAGATTGAGAACATCAAGCAGGTGCCTCAGAAGCTGGAACAGTGCATGGCCAGCAAGCACTACCTCAATGCAACAGACATGCTGGTAAGATCTGGTACCTCGTGCTGGGCCAGTACCCACCAGAAACACGCTGGTCAGCTGTCGGATCACGTGCAGATAGATTTGCTGTCTGTGTTATTTGCTTTTTTCCTGCTTAGTTTCTTCTTTTGCTCCTTTCTTGTACTGGAATTTCCATTTGGTTTTGTTTTGATCCTTCCTGACTGGACTCAGGGTCAGAGTCTCCCATCCTGTTGGGAGCTGTCTTTACCTGCTTACTCGTCCCGATCCTGATGCTTTCTGTAACTATCTAGTTCTTTACCCGTTCGATCTACACATAGGATTTCCTTCTGCTTTTGCAACCTGGTGCTTGCTTTTAAAACTAACTTCCCTGATATCTGCCTGTATCATCTTCTTTCTTTATAGGTTATCAATTATTTTAAAACCATTTTTGTTATGGAAGAACTGTCCTGTTTCTCTCCTATTTCATCTCCCAGAATGTACTCGCAACTTTGGTCATTATTCTGAGGGGAGACTGTCTTTGACCATTTAGGTGTGTTTGCCTCTCACTGTCTTCCTCTAGGTCTTTTACTAGGACTCTTGATCCTTTCTACTTATTTCCAGCTCTTTTTTCATCTTTTTTTCTCCCTCCTTTCAAGTAATTTTTCTCTTCAGTTCCATCTCTTTTATAAGCATACCTTTCAATTCCAGTCTTGCGGTGGAGGTAGAAGTTTCCTGGACTTCTCAAATAACAATCTTTTTTCTTTTTTTCTTGTTTCAAAACTTAACAAGCACACTTCCTCACCTGGCTCCAGTCCTTCCTTTCCTGGAACTGTCTTCTACCAGTAATTAAAAACTTTACAAGGGAGGTGATCCTTCCCTCTACTCAGTCCTGATGTGCTGAGTCCAGTTCTGGGCTCTCCAGTACAAGAGAGAGATGGAGTTACTGGATCGAGACCAGTGAATGATCACAAAGATGGTTAGGGGACAGGAGTATCTCACATATGAGAAGAGGCTGAGAGAGCTGGGATTGCTTCACCTGGCGAAGAGAAACTTCAGGGAGATCTTATCAATGCTTATAAAATGTCTAATGGGAGGGCGTGAAGAAAACAGAGCCAGACTTTTCTCAGCCGTGTCTAGTGACAGGAAAAGAGGCCATGGACGCAGACTGAAATATAGGAAATTATGTCTGAACTTAAGAAGACCCTTTTTTTACTGTAAGGATGGTCAAACACTGGAACAGATTGCCCAGAGAGGTTGCAGAGTCTCCATCTGTGGAAAGTTTTCGAAACCAGACTGGATGTAGTCCTGGGCAGCTGGCTGTAGGTGACCATGCTTGAGCAGGGGGGTGGATTAGATGTTCTCTAGAGGTCCTTTCCAGCCTTAACCAGTCTGTCCTCCAAAAGTGAAGGCAAAAGAAGTATGTCTGTTAATATTCCTCTTTGTGTCTGCCAGAGAATGCCTTTAAGGAGATATTTTCATTGCCTTTTGTTAATGGTTTTTTTCTACTTTACTGTCCTTTGTATTTTTCTTAGCTGTGCCTCTTCACTTCTTTTTAACAAGTCATTATTCAACAGGATAAGCAGCTGGAAATCTTAGTGTTGTCACCTCATATTCCTAGAGCCCAGGCTTGAACTTTAATTTCCTTCTTTCCGTTTTTATCTCATTTTACCTTAAATATGACTTTCTAAAACTTCCCTTGTTCCCTCTGAAACAATTTCAGCAGTTTGATGTCAGTCTCCTCATCCCTTTCTCTGAATGCGTGTGTAACCCTATCTGGATTTTTGCTGTTGCTGTCATGTCCTCCTGTCTGATTTCACTCTGCCATCACTTTCCTGTTGTTTTCTGTTGCTCGTGTTCTCTTTTCATCCTATATTTGGTGCAATCATCTTTCTAGAACCTGGTCACAATTTTCCCTTTCTTCCCTTTTAGAACCATCTTCTAGGAACCCTCTCAATCTTACTCTCCTTAGAGTCTCACTGTCCTTTTACTACGAACTCATCTTACGTCTTTCCCACCGCATTGTAAAGCGTCTGGGATGGGTAATGTATCCATTTCTGTTGTGTAATGTAGAGTGGAATTTTTATGACACTTTATAAAATGTTACATAAAACCTATTAGGATTCCTGAAAGCAGATCAGCAATGCAATGACTTGAGGCAGTGTATACGAGAAGAATGCAGTCAGGTTTTGCCAAAACTTCTGTCAGGTTTCTGATGTAGGAACTTGGAGTGTGGTGTTCGTCTGATATTTTCAATTATGAGAGATGAAGAAGTAGATGTAAATTAAGGCATTCAGTGCAGGGGGAAGAACACGGTATTCAGTGTTAACATCAGTATGAGTTGAAATGTTATCCAGTTGGTGCTTTCCTTTACTGATGGACTTGCCAGTTTGGTTGGGGTTTGTTTGTTCATTTTTTTAATTAAAAAAATTATTTTCAGAAGGAAATTCCAGAAAAGTAATTAATATCCTATCTGGAATACAAGTTAGGAAGTGTAAGAAGAAAAATAATAATACTTAGGATTTATCATATAAGACACTTTAGAAATGGCTTGCAATATATGTATTTGTGATATCTTGTGTGGACAGTTTTATTTATATATACATACTTATATTTATACGCACATACGTGTGTGTAGGTAAGGTTGCCCAAGGCTATGAGATAGACTCAAAATTAGACCTCTCTGAAGTACAGAATTCTGTAGTATATCATGCTGCTGTTTGTTATTTGTTTCGGTTTTTTTTTTCCAGAATAGAGTATCTTTTCTAAGAAATAAAATGATAATGATATAAAAAGCAGCTGTTAGTTTTGTTTGGGTCTTTTTTTTTTTATATCAAGGAACGCAGAGAAAGCTCAAGTGAAAATTGAACTTGCTATTTCAGCCGTTCATTGACACTTGCAATTCTTATTTGAAGAGAAGTGTACCTGTAATAAAGTAATAGTAACCTATCTGCATTTGGAGCTTTTTCACAGACAAAAATCGCTGTAGGCTCATTGGCTTTTGCCATCTTCTGTTAACACTGCCTCTGCTAGGCTGTGATGTTGTAATCACTCACTGGCTGCAGGATAATTCCTTTCTCCTTTTATATGCTATGAATATTATGTAGAATAATTACTAAACTGTCAGGGATGCAGAGTGTATATAGATCTCTCTGTCCTTTTGTTTCATTCCTCAAGGTAAACAGATGCTCATGGCTTATAAAAAGCCCAAAGTGATCTGACAAGGAGCTTGTATCCCTCACATTGAAATTGGAGCACTGATTAATATTGTTGCCTGTAGCCTTGTGATATGTACAGTCGAAATTAGACCTTTGCAGTCATCGTGTTAGGTTGATGCAGGCACTCTAATGGCATAATTTCTGGTTGCTGCATCACATTTCTGCAGTCTGTTCTTTGTATTCCACTCACATTAATTGAAGTAATTTTGCCACTGAAGCGTGTTTCAAACCTCTGCATTTAAATTGAAATTTTAATTCCCTTATTGTTTGGAAAAGACGGCTGAAGATGGCTTGTTACAGGTTTCATTATCACTCAAAACTCTCCAGCTGCTGGTTCTAATGTGCAATGACTGAGTAATGCTGGGAAGAATTGTTAATAAAAGAATGGCAGCTTTTCCCAGTAGTATGAACACAATGCAAGAGGTATTTTGTGACAGCTTACATTTGTATGAAGTTAAAAATTTTAAGTGGCAGCTTTTTTGTTTCTGATTCTGCATCCATCTAGAGTAGCAAGGATGAGCTTCAGATATCATGTATTCACGTTCTGCGTTCCTCCAGCATCTCGATAATGCACACTGGTGAGCAGAGCTGGTAGGGTCAGGCTTGCTGTTCTTTAATTGCACCTTACACAGTTTGTGTTAAAAAGATCTTGTTCCAACCTCCTTTGAATTGTGAAGCTTTGGAGAAATCAGGAGGGTCTGGAACAGGTAGGCCTCTTGATTGAGATTGAATGCATCTCAGTTATTTTCAATTTCTGTATATGCTTTTTTAAAGTATGACTTTGTATGTTTTTTCCACACACTAAATTGCTAAAAGTAACATTCACTTTTACGTGGCAGTTGATTGCACACGCACACATATGTGTGTACTTCTGTTTAACATAAAACTTGAAAAAGGCGGCTGAGGGGAGACCTGATCGCTCCCTACAACTCCCTGAAAGGAGGTTGTAGCCAGGTGGGGGTCGGTCTCTTCTCCCAAGGAACAAGCAATAGGACAAGAGGAAATGGCCTCAAATTGTGCCAGAGGATGTTTAGATTGGATATTATGAAAAATTTCTTCACCAAAAGGGTTGTCAATCCCTGGAACAGGCTGCCCAGAGGAGTGGTTGAGTGACCATCCCTGGAGGTATTTAAAAGGCACATAGATGTGTAGCTTAGGGACATGGTTTAGTGGTGGACTTGGCAGTGCTGGGTTAACGGTTGGATTCAGTAATCTTAAAGGTCTTTTGCAGCCAAAATGATTCTATGATTCTGTGATCAGGTGCTGAGAGGGGAATTCTGACACAGAAAGAAAAGGCGGTAGGCAGTCTCCAAAAGGGAGAGCAGCAGAGCTGGGGCAGCGCTGGGCTGGGGGCATAGCCAGCGCTTGTCCCGGAAGCACGAGCTTCATCGCTGGAAGGCAAGAATCCAAATTCTTCTGGAAGAAATGTTTTAGATGGGCTACACAACGCTACAACCAAGCCGGAACTTGAAGCAGAGGACGCACAGCAGGATGGGTAGCAATGGGCAAGGACAGCCGGATTCTTGCTGGAGGAATCAATTCCATGTCCAGTCTCCCCCTTCGCTGGGTTGTATATTGAAGGGCAGTATGCTCTGCCTAGTTAATTAACTCAAGTATCGTAGAAGTCTGTAGTGTTGATCTAATTGTTCTGGCTCTACTGTTGACCCATGAGGTACCCATAGGGAGAAATTAATATTTTCCATTTGTTTAAATGATCTAAGAGATGAAATGCTAAAAACAGTTGAAGGAAGAGATGTTGTTGAATCAAGTAATTAAAGGTCATATCATAATACGATTAAATGAAAATTGCTTAGGCTACTTTCTTTGCAT